TCTCTCTCTCTCTCTCTCTCTCTCTCTCTCTCTCTCCTCTCCTCTTACCTCTCTTCTCTTTTCTCCACCCCACCCAACCAATCTTTCCGTCTTTTTCTTTCTGGGTCTCTTTCTCAGAATTGTTCACTAGCTCTCAATGACTAATCACTTCCTGCAGCCCCTACCCCCATTCTAGACTGTCACCCCCTCCCCATCCCCTGCCAGCCTCATGAATATTTAACTGCCTCCAATCTGGACCCAATTACCCACCTACTTTCCCACTGCATTGGGAGGGAGATAGGGTGGAGACAGAGAAGGATATTCCAGCCAGTTCAGGAGATTATATGAAAGGTGTTTAAGGGAAGAGGGGCCTGAGGAATGCTTGGATTTCTTCCCTAACTCTTCTCTTCTTTCCCCAACACCTTAAAAGCAAAGAACAGCCATTCCTATAGAGGAGCTGTAGTCGGAGCAATACAAGTCATATCTGCCATTTAGATTTGATGCACACTTGATAATTATAGGAGTTCAGTCCCCTCAAAAATATACCATACATAATATACATATATTATTCTAAGTATACCTACAACTTAAAATAAATATATATGTGTGTATATATATATATACACACATATATATAATCAGCTTAGATACACACAAATGTACTCATATATGCTGTAAAATTCTAAGGAATTCTATGTGAATATGTAGCATTTAAACATTGAATTTGGAAATAATAACTAATGTTTAGGAATTAGCAGCCATATCTAAACTCACATGGTAGCTTTTTCTTATTGTACAGACACATACTTCAAAATCACAACTTCTAATTTTACTGAGAAAGCTGAACATATATGAATAATCAGTCTGTGTAATATTGATAGTGATATTTTACAATTTGGGCAAGATGGAAAAAGGCAAATTGATAAGAGAAAGAGATACATCATGAAGCCATGTTCAGTCCCTTCTAGGGTCTTTCGTAATACAGGATGGAGGAACCCGTGATCTGTAAAGTGCTTGTAACACAAGAGTTAGCTATTTGGTGCTGTATGAACCTGAGAAGCTCTTTCTACCTCACTTTCTCATGTCGAAAATGGGGATGGTAATGTCAGCCTTGCTAATATGTTACGACCAGATAGTATGCTGCATGCAAACTACATCAGAGCCACTCTCAACTTTACCCCTAGACTGTGCTTTCCTGACACTTTGGTGACACTTTCAGCAATTATCTCAAAGAATTTTTCAAACTATTTCTTCTTGTTCATTAGTGAGGCCAAGCACCTTTAATTAAACAGCTTACATTCTTTCCAGTTACTCCCAGACATAAACCTATTCAATAAGTGCTAACCAGGCAGCTTGTTATGGTGCATATTTCAGGATCATTGAGCACAACAGGTGTTCAATACATTTTAACAAAATTCAGAGCACACCCCTCAGAATGAACTCAGAAAAGTATCCAGGGGTGATGGTTAAAATTACCCCTAAGAGTCTCCCTGAGAATAATTGGCCTCAAATTCAGTCTACTGGGTCTTTTCTTTTCAATTTGCCTTTAAATTTTCATATTTTATAATAAAAACAAAATTGGATTCTGAGTCTGATATTAATTTAAGTTTGCAATGAGCCCCACCAGAGCTGAACTTTCAAAACCAGCCTTCCATGAACTGGACAGAAGAGGACAAGAATATATTAGAAATGATTCCTATCAGAGACACTGCAGTTGTGGATCAGAATCACCCTGCCAGTGGCTGAAAAGGGATGAGGGGAAAGAGCATATTGGCTGGGAGCTGAGGGTGAGGAAGAAATCACTTCTTTTGGTGTTTAAACAGGCTTATAGCTTGATTGATAAGATCATTTAATTAAATGTGTGGCCAAACATAAGGCAAAGAATGGGGCTATCTTCTTTCCCTTTAATGTACTCAGCCCTTCCATTTATGCTTTCTTTCTGCTTTTATTCATTGGAAGGAACCTTGGAAAAAAGGTTGGATAATGAAGTCAGAGAAACTAGGACCAAAAACCAGTCACAGACACCAAGGAACTTTGTGACTAAATAAGTTAGGCCACACACCTTAGCATAGGGTTCCACATCAGTTTACATGCATTATTTCATCTATTCCTCAGTGAAGTAGGTGAAAGCATTAATTCCATTGTGAGGAGGCCACTAAGACTGAGAGAAGCTCAGTGCCTTAAACTAAGTTACAAAGCTAATAAGAGGTGAAGCTGGGACTCTGAAACCCCCTTAACCACTAAGATAGATCACCACTCAACAAGCCTTTATACTTTGTTCTTCTGATCCTTAAAAGATTAAAACGAGGGCCGGGGATTTATCTCAGTGGTTCCGGTGCCTGCCTCACAAGTGCAAGGTCCCGAGTTCGATCCCCTGTATGAAAAAAAAAAAGATTAAAATGCATAGCCAAAGTTTTTGTGTTGACATGAAATCAGCATTCTGTAAGGTTCATCTATTTGGCCCAACCCTTAGCTGGAGAGTCACGGAGAACAAATAGATACCTTCATTCTTGTATCTTTAATCAAATGCCAGCTTCTTCAGCCAGTCTTAGTTGCTTCATTGCATAGATTCCTCACAATTTCAATGCCTTTCTCTTGACATACTATATATTGTCAATGAGCCTCTAAAAATTACTTACCGAGAAGGGACCTCAAGATTCCAAACTGAGTTTGAATAATATAGAATTGATTTCAATGCACTTTCTTTTCTCTGGGCTAAGCAGGTTATGGAATAGCAAAAGAATGAGAAAGAACAAAAAGTACACACTGAACCAACCTAGGCAAAAACCCACATATGTATAAAAACACGTTTGTATAATATATACACACTGTATAATGTATATACATATATGTGTGGGTATGTTATATACACATTCTTTATATACACATATATATGTACTTATAAGCATGTTTTATGCATAGATATGTTTAATGTATATACATAGACACATATATGGTTATATATTTGGTTTTTACATTACATGTATCGGTGCATATAAAATGTATATATATGCATATATAAAGAAAATAAAACATCCATGGTTGTCTCCATCCCTACCAGGGAATTATCTAATATATGCACTAATTTTTAGGCCTTTTTCATCAGTTGTAGAAATGCTTAGTCTTAAGGCTCATGGCTGAACTTCATAAAGTTTTAGACTGGAAGAATAATTGCTCAGACTATCAGTTAATTTCCTGCCAATAGTCAACAAGATCATTCCCCAAAAAAAGAAGAGCTGTGGAAGCCAAGTTCTAGTTCCAGTCAGATCTCTTTGAACTTCATACTAAAGTTATACTGACTTTATAATAAGCCCAGGGTTCACTGGGCTTAGTCAAACAGTCAACTACTTTAGAAATGAGGCCAGTACTTGAGGGAAGACAGTGTCATCAGTGCATGTAGAAAATGCATTATTCTTGTTTCTTATTTTTAAGCTCTTATTCTTAAGTTTCTATCTGCTGTATTAGTTTATCAGGGATGCCTTAACAAAGCACCACACAGTGGGTGGTTTAAGCAACAGAAACTTAGCTTCTCACAGTTCTAGAGGCTGGAAATTCAAGTTCAAGGTGCTACCAGATTTGATTTTCTCTGAAAGCCATGAGGGAAGTGTTTGTTCCAAGTGTCTTTCCTGGGCTTGCACACGGTCACCTTCTTGCTGCTTCTTCAATGGTGCAGTCATCCCTCTGAATGTGCAGGTGTGGTGGCTATCTCTGTATGTCCTAATCTTCTCTTCTTCCAAGGATACTAGAGGGATCAGGTTAGGCTCCTCAGCCCTCAATCAACCTTATCTTTATTTTTTTCCCCATTAAGTTTATTGGTACATTTTAGGTATAAAATACATTTACATACAACATTGGGATCTTGTACCATTATGTGAGTCCCTTGGTTCTTATTTCTTTTTCCCCTTCCCCTGCCCTCCCTTCACCCCCTCCATTCTTCCCTATTTGCAAAGATTTTGTTTCCCTTTTTTTCCTTTTCTCATATTTTTTCTTTTCCCTTCTTTCCTTTCCCCTACCCCTCCCACTTCCCCTGCCCCCTTAGACCTTTACTTCCTATTACACAATATCATTTATACATTTTTAAATTAAAATATCAAGACCTAGGAGACATTACTACAGATTTTACAGAATTCAAAAGGATATAGAAAGCATATTTCAAAACTCTTTCTTGAAATAAATTTGACAACTTCTAAGAAGTACCTTGGAAGACAAATTAATGAAACTAACTCTG